GCCGAGGGAAGGTTGAAAGATGCCTCACAAGCGAGAGGACCAGCGTTCAATTCCCAAACGGGGCAAAACCTTAGGCAAGTTTCCTTACTCCACATGCCTCTGGAATGTTACCTTGGGTGCTACACAAATGCAAGTTGTTGTTGTTTACCTAGCAATAAGTAGGAACTTGGTTGTTAATCGATTGTCGGAATGATGTCCGGTGGTAATAATTTCCCTCCCCCCAAAAATTTATCTGGTCACTCAATTCACCACTGTTTGTGGGACACTGCTGTAGGCAATTGGTTGGCCCATTTCGCCCACAAAATATAGTCAATTCACTTGACAGTATGTCCAGTGAAGCACTTTGAGATGTCTCAACGACGTGATAAGGCGCTATATCAAATACAAGGATTATTATTGTTAACATTATTATCATTTAAATTCATTTGGGGATTGGCATTTACCAAAATCTTGACATCCTTGCAGCAAAGGAACTAGGGACATTCCTGGAGTAAGACCACATTGGCTACAAATAGTTCTGTTGTCAGGATTTGTGTCCCTCCGCACGTCAGTGTGTCCCCTGATACTGCTTCTCAATGTCATCTCATTCCACAACTGACGTATCTTTTTCCACCCCTGGTCGGTTCACAGTCAGAGTCATTATCATCTCTGTTGACTGTGACAATGCTCTGCTTGCTTCTGCTCTCCTGCTCTTCCCTACACAACAACAACAAATTGCATTTATACAGTGCCTGTCGTGTCAGGAGGATGTCCCAAGGCGCTGGATAATGATGGGTTTGTACCCGAGCTGAGGGTCGGAATTAAGAGGGTTGGAAGACAAGATGGTGGAGGTGGGAAGATGATCAAAGGCATTGTTGGAGCAGGATCTTGAGGAGGGTATTGAGATGAGATAAAGGAGCCAAGGGGAGGGCGGGGGCAAGGTGGAGGGGCTCCGGGATGGAGTCCCCGAGGGTGGGGGAAGTGGGGCTGGAGGCCCGAATGCCAATGGTTGGCTGGGCAGGGCAGGGGACATGGAGCCGAGCGGAGTGAACGTACAGGTTGGTAAAGTTTTAGAAGGTCGCAGAGGTAGGGAGGAGCAAGACCATGGAGGGCTTTAAAAGTGAGGATCTTGAACTTGATCCCCTGGGGGATGGGGAGCCAGTGAAGCCGAGCAAGGATAGGAGTGATAGAGTTGGTGCATGGAGCTTGGTGCAGGAGAGGACATGAGCTGCAGAGTTCTGAAAAATCTGCAGTTTGTGGAGGGAAGCTTTGGGAAGTCCATCAAGCAGGGAATTAGCATAGTCCAAGGCTGCCAATGCTCTCCAAACATGCATAGGAATGTGGCAAAACAGGAGCAGGAGGAGACAATTCAGTCCACCAAGCCTGTTCCACCAGTTCATTAGCACTGGGCAGATCCTTTAATCCCAATGTCCAGCCCTTTCTCTATACCCCTTAATACCTCTACGACCAGGTCTCTGTCTCTCTCTTAAACATCCCTGGAAACTCCATCTCTACAGCTTTGTCAAACAGAGCTTTCCACATCCTCACAACCCTCTGTGTGTGAGGAAACGCTTCCTGACCTCAATTCTAACTGTCCTTTGTTTTGATTGTCCTACACCCCTGCCGCCTCTCCCCCCCACCCTCTCGCACCCTCCCCATCCCCTCACCCACAAACCCCATTGGATCTCTCCACCAAAATGAGAATCATCCACTATGTAACTTTCACTAACGTTCATTATTTTTGAATACCTCAGTCAAATCACCCCATCAATCTCCTCTTCTCTAAGGACTATAGCCCCCGTCTACTCAATCTCCAACACTTGTCCTGGTTTTGCCTGGTTTTGTACACTGACATTTGTTCATCACTGAACAAATCTTCTTATAATAATCCCTGCATTTGCATTTGATATTGTGTCTTATTACGTCATCGAGATGTCTTAAAGCGTTTCACAGAATACATTGTAAAGACGATTGACTATATTTTGTGGGCGAAATGCAGCAGCCAATTGCACACAGCAATGTCCCACAAACAATCGGGGATTGAGTGACCAAATTATTTATTTATTAGAAGAGATTATTACCCGCAGAAAGCGATCTTCTAGTCAACCGGGTTCCTACTTACTGCTAGGTAATCAGAGGCGTGTGAAGTATGGAAACTTGCCTAAGATTTTGCCCTGGCCAGGAATCAAACCCGGTTCCTCTCGCTTGCGAGACGAGTGCCCTAACCACTCCGCTACAGGACTCCACATCCCGCAGTTACCAGGCATTTGAGAGTTTTCTGTCCTTAGCTTCCCAATAACCTACCCCATGGAGCCACCTGATCAGAAGATGCGCATTTATATTTTCCATGTTAGCTAAAAATACAATCTGGAAGATAAATGTAGACTTTGTGTGTGCACACATTCTAGAAGACATCCGACCAGATAAATTCTTTTTACTTTTGATTGAGGACTAGCTATTGATTTCTACTAATGAGCTTTTAATGCTCTGAAATTTGGATCATTTTTCTTCCCTTCTCCCCTCCTTCTTCTTTCTCTCTCTCTCCCTCCCCTCTTTCCATTTCTAAATTGGCGCCCCCACTATAAATAACTGGAGGCTTGACCTTCAGCTCAATGTTCGCCACTTTGATTTCTTTTGTGTACGTTTGCCAGTTCTTCTGTCCCTGTCAACACATTTTTCTGAAATCCCCATTAATCAGCACGATATTAAAAGAGTCTCACTTTAGTCCAAAGCCATAGTTTCGGACGGATTGCCAAACCTTTTACACACATCGAGAGCGCTTCCTGTAGAACAAAGGACTTTCAATCAGTCAGTCTCAGTCTACTCAACATGTGAAACTTACGCTCGCTTTCGTCGTTTATACTTAATATTCTTTTCTTTTGATATCGCGGCTTTCACCTCGAGACAATGTCTTCAAAGCGCTTCACAGGATTTACTGTGAAGTTTAGTCGCTGCATATTTTCGCCACAAAATATACAGTCAATCCACTTTACAGTATATCCTGTGAAGCGCTTGGAGACATCTCGAATATGTGATAAAGGCGCTGTATCAAATGCAAGGATTATTATTATTATTTTGTGGGCAAACGTGGCAGCTAATTTGTGCACAATTGCTGTCCCACAAACAACCATGAAGTGCATAACGAATCTTATCCAGGGGATTGTTGGCCAGGACTCTGGAAGAGAGAAACTCACTCCTCTATTCCCAATAGCGCCGTGCGATCTCTAACATGCACCCGAACAGGCAGACAGAACCTCGGTTTAATATCTCATCTGAAGGAAGGTGCCTCTAACATTGCAGCGCTCCCCCCACCACCCATAATAATAATAATAATAATAATAATCCTTGCATTTGATATAGCGCTTTTCACGTCGGGAGGACGTCCCAAAGCGCTTCACAGAACATACTGCAAAGTGAATTGACTATATTTGTGGGCGAACGCGGCAGCCAATTGCGCACAGTAATGTCCCACAAACAGTCGTAGATTGAAAATGACCAATTAATTATTGTTTTTGGTTTTTGAAGGGATTATTATTAGGCGTGTGGAGTAAGGAAACTTGCCCAAGGTTTCGCCCTCTGCCTGGAATTGAACTCAGGTCTCTCACTTGCAAAGCGAGTGCTCTAACCACTGAGCTACAGGACTCCCCCTCTCTCCCCACCCCAGCACTTCACTGGAGGATCAGCTTAGAGCCATGAATTCAAAGTCACAGACGTAGGGGCTTGAACTCCAACCCAGAGGTGAGAGTGCTACCACCGGCTGACACCAGTGCAGCAAACACATTTTGTTCAGGGTTGACCGCAAGAACCAAGTCATTCAGAACATCTCGGTTCCAGCAGTAATGCATCATATTAATAATAATAATTCTTGCATTTAATATAGTACCTTATCACATCATTGAGATGTCTCAGAACACTTCACAGAATATACTATCAAGTGGATTGACTGTATATCTTTTGGGAGCACCGAGGCAGGCAACTGCGCACAGCAGTGTCCCACAGACAGTCTTGGATTGAGTGATCAAATTGTTATTACTTATTTCGTTTTTTGTTTTTGAAGGGATTATTATCCTCAAAGTGATCAGCCAAATCGACTAATCGGGTTCCTTCTTCCTAGATAAGCAGAGGGATGTAGAGTAAGGAACCTTACCCACGGTTTCGCCCTGCCCGGGAATCAAACCCGGGTCCTCTTGCTTGCGAGGCGAGTGCTCTAACCACTTCGCTACGGGACCCCAATTGGTAACTTCTCTATGAATCGCTGCCCATAAACGATCGTCTGTTTTGATGACTGACATTTAATGCAACACATCCCTCCTCGGGAATCTGAAATTCGTCACAATAAAACTTCCCTCTTTTACGAGTAATTTGAGACACAATATGGGCAGTATGGCTTGGAAGAACCAGGAAACTTTAGATCTAAGTTTTCCAAAGCTTCCCACTCTGCTGTAGACCAAGCCACAGAGAATTCACTTCTACCAACATCTCCATTATTGTAGCATGTGATGACTAGGATGGTAGAAGGCAAACTGATGGACCTTGGTTCCTATGTTCCTTATAATACCTGCAAGGGTTCTGAGGTGAGTTTCCATTTGACATTGTCAATGCATTGGCAGTTGTATATACAGTGAAGTCATATGGTAAATGCTGTTCGTTGGGAAAGCATATTTTAATGAACTTAAAGGTGAGGCTAATGCCTTAATACAACATTCTGTGAGCCATTTCCACATGCCCGTACGCTGCATATTGCACAAGTGATCAATTATTTTGTTACTGCTCTACGCAGGGCACGCTGAGCTTAAGCTTTGAAACCTTGGAGGAAAGCGAGGGAGGGTAGGAGGAAGAGAGAGAGTGGGAGGGAGAGAGGGAAGGAGGGAGCGAGGGAGGGAGAGAGTGAGGAGGGGCGGGAGCGAGAGAGAGGGGGGAGGGAAGGAGAGAGGGAGAGAGCGAGGTAGGGAGAGAGAGATGAAGAGAGGGATGGAGGGAGGCAGCGAGGGAGCGTGGGAGGGAGAGAGAGAGAGGGGCAGATGGAGGGGGAGAACGAGGGAGGGAGTGTGGTGATCTTTCAGCTTCAGAAATGCAAAGCTTCTTCGCCGATTGCTGGGACAGCTGAACGAATGGGGAGCCTTCCCTGGCGGGGCCTGTGCCTGGGAAAGTGTAACAGAAGTTCTCCTCTCACAACAAGGCAAGGTCAGGATTCCTCGTCACCTCCCGTTGGTGATGATGACCGAGGTCCCTATGTAATGCGGGAGGACACACTCTGGCTGGGGGTCCGGTGAGGAGTTGAGCGCGGGGCTGGGGTCCCTGTAGGTAAGAGAGTCCCTCTCGTGGGCGCAGTAGCCTCGGTTGTCCATGATGTAACCAGCCACAGCACAGGACGACCTCTGGAAGGAGGAATTCTTGGCAAAGAGCTGGCTGTAGGTCAGGGAGCCCAGGTGGGATTGTCCGGAGGGTCCCATACCCACTGCCTCCGGCTGCTGTTGGCGTCCTCTCCCATCGCAGAGTTTGGGCATCGCTCCTACGCTACTCATGCCGTCTGCGCCAGTTTTGTGCCGGCTGCCGGGCGGGTACAGTAACTCCTTCCCGCAGGTCCGCCTGGGCGGCTCGTACGGCACCTGTCCCGGGAAGAGCTGCCGGCTTATCCTCCCCGTGGTTTTGGCCGGACGGCAATCCAACTTGGCCAACATGGAATTGCTCATGGTTGTCAGGAAACCCTTCCCGTGGGCGGGGGCCATTTCCTCCCGCCGGTACGCCGCCTTGCACTCTTCCTTCACCGCACCGCGCGGAGTGGGCGGGAGCTCCATCTTGCTCAACTTTGCGGGGTTAACGTACGCCTCCGCCTTGTACTCGCCGTCCAGCCCGGTCGGCGCGCAGCTCGGGAACCGGGAAGGTGCCGCAGTCTCGCAATGCCTTCGGTTGGGCAACGCTTCTAAACAGAATGAGACTGTTAGTGAGGAGCGGGCGGGTTCTGGCCCGACATTGTGCACGCACACCCGCAAGCAGCGTCGCCCGTGACGGGTTTTTGGGGGTCATCCGGGTGTCTGACACACACGGAAACCCATCACCGTGCTTAAGGAGTCTCCAAACCAAACTGAGAATTCCATGCATCCCACCTACACGTGGAAATCCCGACGACAGATTGCTGGAATGGAATGTGCACTCTCTCTCTCCCTGGAGGGACACCTCCCGCTTACCTAAATCCAGAAAGTATTCGGCGCAGGCTGGCAAGAGACAAGGCTTAGGGGACCCCAGAGTGTGTTGTGGGAACTGCTGGAGTCTCACCAGCTAAAACGTAGCTTGCCATTGAGAGCACTGTCTGACAAGCTTTGCCACTGCTTGTCCAACTAGGACCGCTCTACCTGTTAGGGCTATGTCTTACAGGGTTAATAGGAGCTGAATGGGATTATTCGCTGCCCCCAGTGACTGGTCTGCCCTTCTAAGTCCCGCCGATGAGTCAGGCTGGGCTGTGCTGCCATCAGCAGTAACTAATTTTCACTCTTGCAAAGAGAGAGAGTCAAAGTCAGTTGAAACAACAACGATGTGTGTTTCTCTGAGTTATAATAAATAGCTGCCGTCTGGACAGTAAGATTAAGGCTGTCATTTAATCTGCAGGCTCCCGCAGAGGTTAATAAACTGTTCAGACTTTGCTGTCACCGACCGGGCCACCGTTAGAACACCTCGATTTAATTATTGGGTTATAACTCACTTGGAAGCCATCTATTATCCAACACATACGGATTGAATTCACGTCCCATTTATACAGTGGTACGAGCCCGGGAATCCCCATTATGAGGAGATCTGCAGATCAAGTTCCTATGCGATTGCCAAAGTATCAGACTACCAAAGGCGATGTATGATGCAGTGCATTTTGATATTAAATCTCTGTTCTGAAACATATTTCACAACTGTCCCACAAACAAGCCCACAAAGTGAACAAGCAATTTTTTTTATTTGGGGTAGGGTGTATGTGTGGGGGTGGGGGGGGGGGGAGTGGGTGCGGGGATTGTTGGCCAGGACACTGGGAGAAACGCTCTTCCCTTTTCCAATATCGCCACGGGATTCTAACGTCCACCGGAACAGACACTGACCGGTTTAACAATACATAATCCTTGCTTTTGATGGAGCGCCTTATCACGTCCTTGAGACGTCTCGCAGCCCTTCGCAGGATATACTATAAAATGCAGTAACCGTGTATTTTGTGGGCTAAATGTGACAGCCAGTTGCGCACAGCAATGTCCCACAGCCGAGGAGTGAGTGACCAATTGTATTTTGGGGGACTGTTGGCCAGGACGCAGGGAGAAAGAAGCTCCCTTTAACATCCACCTGAACACGCAGATGGGATCTCGGTTTAACGTCTCATCTGAAGGACGGCACTCCATCATTGCAACGTACCCCATCACTGCATTGGAGTGTCAGCTTAAACTACGTAATCTTGACATGGACTCCGAGGCAAGAGTGCTACCACTGCACCAGAATTTGAGATGTGTCCACATTACAGGTACGGTATCAAACGCAGGATATTATCTACAGTATTATATTATATAGTCTATTATAAGGCAGGGTATTATAACCCTTCACTAAGCCTCCGCATGACTGAGAAAAAAGTCATTGGAGATTTCACTATAGCACTTGGGTTAAGCACGGTGGGTGATGGGTTTCTGTCTGTGTCAGGCACCCGGCTGACCAAAAAAAAACTTTGGAGATTTGTGGGCAAGCAAGTGATGTCAATGAACTGTAAAAGAGTGTTGAGCAGAAGTCGCTGGGAACACTCAGCAGGTCAGGCAGCATCTATGGAGAAAGGAAAGTATCTCAACGTTTTGGGCCTGTTGGGCCCCAGTTCTGGGCCTCAGTTTTCTCCTTTGACTGCCTTGCCTTGCCTCCCCCACCCTCTCTGTTTGCCCTTAAAAGCCTCTGCCTCCCAACATGCCCCAGTTCTGATGAAGGTTCGTGGACCCGACACGTTGACTCACTTTCTTTTCTCCGTAGATGCTGCCCTGACCTACTGAGCGTTCCCAGCGACTTCTGTTTTTGTAAAAGAGTGTTGGCTCACTCAAGTAGCGCTCTTACTCCAGGGTTAGAAGGTCGTCCGTTCAAGCCCCCACATCGGGGACTTTGAGCTTGCATAGTCTAGGCTGACGTTCCAGTGAAGTGCTGGAGGTTGGGGGGTGTTGAAAGGAGTGTTGCATTATCAGAGGTGTTGACCTTCTGATGAGACGTTACTCATATAGAAATATTCAAAAAACACAGTCACTGCACTTTACAGCAATAACTGTGAAGTGCTTTATAATAATGCTTGCAGTTGATATAGCACCATATCACTTCTCAAAACACTTCACAGGATTTGCTGTAAAATGCAGTAACTTTGTATTATTAGGCGAACGCAGCAGCCCAATTTGCACCAGCGATGTCATGCAAAACAGCCATGAAGCGAGCGGACGACTTTATCTGCGGGACTGGTAGAGAGAAACTCCCTTTTCTTTTCAAGTGGTGTCCAACACCCCAGCTCGGGGAGGCCCTACCATGACTGAGAATAAAATGTCAAATGTTATGGGACGTCCTCTTGACGTGAAAGGCGCTGTGTAACTTGTACTGTATTGCACTGGAGTGGGATCTTTAGCATAATGTTAAGGAACAGTTTAAGAAATACCGCAAGATTTTAGCCCAATGTTTCCCGTGCTGAACCAGGTGGGATTACTCCCCACTTTGATTATAATATTAATAATAACCCTTGCTTTTGATATAACCCCTCAGCAGGTTGTTGAGACGTCTCAAAGCGCTTCACACAATATATTGTAAACAACAGCAAGATTACATTTGTATAGCGCCTTTCACGTCAGGAGGACGTCCCAAGGCGCTGTAAAGTGGATATTTTATGGGCGAGACGCGGCAGCCAATTGCGCACAGCAGTGTCCCAAAAACAGTCATGGATTAAGTGACCAAATTGGTATTATTTACTTTTTTTTAAAGGGATTATTACCCCCAGAGAGTGATCTGCCAATCGACTAACAACAGCAGTGTCCGACAAAGAATATATTGTAAAGTGAATTGACTGTGTATTTTGTGGACGAAACGTGGCAACCAATTGCGTACAGCAGTGTTCCGCAAACAGCCGTCGATTGAGTGGCCAATTTTTTTTGGGGGGGAGATGGATTATGACACCCAGAAAGCGATCCTCCAATCGACTAACAACCGGGTTCCTACTTACTGCTAGGTAAACAGAGGCAGGTGGAGTAAGGAAACCTGCCTGAGATATCGCCCTGCCCGGGAACCGAACCCAGATCCTCTGGCTTGAGAGGCAAGTGCTCTAACCAATATGGTATGGGACTCCACGGGGATGGGGAGCACAGTAGTTTCTAGCAGCGTAACTCACCCCGATAGCTGAGTGTGGGGGAGCAGTAGTGGGAGTCACTGATCTGGGGGTCCTGCAGGCTCTTGGGGGTTGACCGGCTCGGTATCGGGGACGAGCTAGTCACATGCCAGTAGTTGTCGCTGGCCGGCTGAAAGGCTCCCACGTAAAACCTTGGCCCATCACACACCGGCCCCGGCCCCTGAGCTGTCCGCTGAGCGGCCGCCGTCGTCACCTGCTTCTTGTTGGGAAGAGCATGAGGGTCCAGGGTCAAGTGGCCGCAGGCATAAGGGAAAGGCAGCCCGTAGGACTGGGCGCACAGGAGGTCACTGGTCTCCTGATGCGGGACGTTGTCCTGGGGTGATGTGACACTCAGCAGTGGGCTTCCTCCCCAGCCAGCGCCCTGCTCACAATCCCCCTTCTCAGCGTGGAATGAATTGTACGTCTGCAAATGGAACAACAATAATAATCCTTGTGTTTGATAAAGCACCTAATTACGGCTTCAAGACATCTCAAAGCGCTTCACGGGATATACTGTAAAGTCAATTGCCTGTGTATTTTTTGGGTGAAACGCGGCAGCCAATTGCGCACACAGTGTGACCAAACTATTATTTATTTTTGTGGGGGAGAGATTATTACCACTGGAAAAGTGATCCCCCAATCAACTGACAACCAGGTTCCTACTTACTGCTAGGTAAACAATCATGTGAAGTAAGAAAACTTGCCTAATTTTTTGCCCCGCCCAGGAAACAAACCCAGGTTCTCTCGCTTGCGAGGCAAGTGCTCTAACCAATACGCTAAAGGACTCCACAACACCAACAAATTGCTTTTATACAGCGATGGGAAAGGCTTGATGCTGTGATGGGAAGGACGGTAGCGTTGGAAGGATGAGATCAGACAGGAAATATTGCTTGGTGATTAATGGCTGGAAGAGGCTTTCCAGGAAGGATGGTTCAGTTCAGAAATAGCTTGATGCTGTGATGGAAGAACAGCAGGATGGGTGTTCTGGAGGAATAATCATTATATTTGATATTGCGTCTTATCACTTTGTTGAGATGTCACAGAGAGCTTCACAGAATATACCGTAAAGTGAATTGACTGTGTAATAGTAATAATAATAATTCCCACACTCTGGAATTCTATCCCTCAGCCTCATCCCCTCTCTTGCCTCCTTCAAGTCCTGTCTAAAGAGCTTGCTCTTTGACCGCGCCTTCGCCTCTATCTTGAAAATTTGAATGAATCCAGCATCCACAGCCTTTTTAGGGAGAGACTTCTAGATTTCCACTAGCCTTTGTGTGAAAAAGTGCTTCCTGATTTCACTCCTAAATGGTCTGGTTCTAATTTTAAGACTATACCCCCTTGTTCTGGATTCCCCCACCAGGGGAAATAGTTTCTCTGTAGCTACTCTATCAAATCCCTTTATCGTTTTAAACACTTCAATTAGATCAACCCTCAACCTTCTAAGCTGAAGGAAATACAACCCAAGTCTATGCAACCTGTGCTTGTAATTTAATTCTTTTCAGCCATGGTATCATTCTGGTGAATCTGCATTGCACCCCAACCAGGCTAGGGCCAATATATCTTACCTGAGGTATGTATGTGTTTGTGTTTTTTGTTGGGGGGGGGCGGGGGGTGGTGCTGAGGAGAAGGGGTGTGGAGGTGGATGAAGTGGTGTGGAGCGTGGCTGAGGGTGGGTGAGGAAGGTTGGTGTAGGGGGTGAGGAGGGGAATGAGGAGTGGGAGGAAGAAACCTATTACCTGTGGATAAGGAGACGATTTGAGTTTGGATTTCAGTTTGGTAATCTTGGGTTTCAGCTGTTTTCGGCTTTCATGTGAGGTAGACAGTAGCATCTTGTAGGGAAATGAGGACTTGGTCGCTGTCGCCTGGTCCAGAGACAACTGCAGTTCCTTGTATTCGATGTCTCTACAACAGAGGATCATCAGTGAGAAGATCAGAGAGCACGGGATGGCAAGATTGTCAGAGTATTGACACGTGCGGAAACCCATCGCCATGCTTCAGAGAGGCCAAACCAAACTGAGAATTCCATCCATCCCGAGTCAGTGAGCGGCGGTGCCTCGGGAAACCACGGTAAAATGAGCGGGAGATGCGAGAAGCGAGGGCTGAAGGTTTTGGTTGACGAAAGCCGGGCGAGATTGTCCGCGAGGCGAGGAATTTCAAATCTCCCGCCTGTATAACGGGTGCGATAGACTGCCGAGACCACGGGTGGAGGAACTAGCGGTGGTGAGCGACCAGCGAGATTATAGTTCGGCTGCTTCAGGCGCCATCCCTCCTCTCCCCCACCACACCCCCTTGCTGCTTCCCGTAGCCCGCAGGCTGATGCTGCCCCACTGATCACTCGCTCCCGGTCTCTGCGTGCACGTTTTGACTGCTGCCCCGAGCCGCACCCCCCTGAAAATGTTTTTGCTCCCACTCCCCACACTCCGCTACTCCCACTCTGTCGTTCTCTCCCACCGCTCTCCTCGCCTTCTCTCTCTCCTGGACCCCACCATTACCTCCCTCTGCTCCAGCCTGGGCATCCTCCACCAGGCCCATCATGGCTCCCGGCGTTAGTTGTCCCAAAGCAGCTACTACCTCCAAAAGGCAGGTACCCCTTCCCCCTCCCTTATATATACACTCCCCAACATTGCCTACTCCTCAAACTCCATGGTCACTTCTCCCCCACGACCTCAATTCCTCTTTATACCACTCTCCTTATCACCGCCCGCCACCAGCAAACCTATTCGCATTTCCCTCCAAAATGTCTGCTTCCTCTCCAACAAAGCCCTTACTAACCATGAACTCATTCTGGATGAGCACATTGATATTCTTGGGCTTATAGAAACCTGGCTCTCCCCCAGTGATTCCACCCCCTCATTGAAGCCTCCCCTCCTGGCTACACCTTTCATCACACCACCACCCCCACAACCAACATGGCAGCAGGATGACCATCATCTTCCAAGCTTCCCTCGGTCTATGCCCTTATTCCTCTAGTTGTTTCTCCTCCTTTGAGCACCTAACTTCTACCATCCCTCCTCCCTATCGCTCAAATCCTCCTAGTTTACCACCCCCCCCCAAACCTCCTGGCTCCTTCCTCACCGATATCTCCGCTCTCCTCTCATCCCTGTCTCTCTGCACTGAATACCTGCTCATAATGGGTGATAGCAAACTCCACCTGAACTCCCCTTGCACCACCTCCTTGGATTTCACTGCCCTCCTCTCCTCCCTTAAACCTCACCCTCCACATTGACTCACTGACCCACAACTGTGGTCACTCCCTCGACCTCGTCATCATACATGCCCTTGACATTTCCAACCTGTCCATCACGGATAAGGCCATCTCGGACTAATTCCTCTTCTCCCTCTCCTCCCACATCCCCCTTCCTTCTTCCAAACCCTCCACCATTTTTTTCCGCCTCTGGGAAAAAGCTTCCCCCTGAGTCCCTCACAAATGCCCTCTCTTCCTCGAACCTCCTCTCCCTCTGGCCCTCCTCCTGCAGCGACCCTAATGCAGCTGTCAAGCTGCTGAATGACTGGAGCATCCGGGTTTGTGTTTTGAGTGAGTGGAGATGACTGTTGTACCAGGGGGAACGGGTGGGTTTGGAAACAACCCTGGATTTCAGGGGAGCCAGGGAATTGAAGGTTGTGGAGAGACGGTTATTATTATTATTATTATTATTATTATTATTATTATTATTATTATTATTATTATTATTATTATTATTATTATTATAATGCCCTCTCTTCCTCGAACCTCCTCTCCCTCTGGCCCTCCACCTGCAGCGACCCTGATGCAGCTGTCAAGCTGCTGAATGACCTGAAGACTTTCCTATTCGACTGTACTTACGACCACCTCCCACTGGCTCAGAGTCAAGCTCTGCCACTGTTAGGCGCTCTGAGATGATACCATGTGTGTAGGGCACTACATAAGTGCATGTTGTTGTTGTTGTTGTATCCCGCCTACACATGGAAATTCCAGAGATAGATTGCTGGAATGGAATGCGCACTCTCTCTCCCTAGTGGGACGCTTCCTGCTTACCTAATTCTGGAAAATATTAGGCGCAGGTTGGCAAGAGCCAAGACTTGGGGGACCCCAGAGTGTGCGTTGGGGTAACTGCTGGAGTCTAACCAGCTAAACCCACATAGCTTGCCATTGAGAGCCCAGACAACAACAACTTGCATTTATGCAATGCCCTTCATGCGGGGCAGTGTCTCGGAGCTCTTAACAGTGACAGAGTAACACCGAGCTGGCGAGAGAGGGGAGGTGACCATAGGCACGGTTGAAGGTGAATGTCTTTGGGTGCGATCTGAACACGGGCAAGGAGGGGGCAAGGCGGAGGCTGGAAACCATCATGTAGGGGTGATTTGATTCCGACATTCCATTGCCTAGCAAGTCACCTTGGAGCCAGCTGAGGCCCATAGAGATCCCCTGCAGCCCCCACCCCCAAATAGAGGAGAATCGATGAAGGCGTAACAACAGCTTACTTACGTGAGGACATAATTAACGCTCACAATGCAGTGTGGTCTGGACGAGCGGCTATTGTGTACAATGGTGGCGTAGCTCTGAACCCAGACCCATCCTCCGTGTTTGGACAGCAGCCGGTAGTACTTGGTGGTGACTTGTCCTTTGACCAACACTTCTCCAGAAAGAGAAAGCAGAGTTAATGGTGGTTTGGATTCTTTAGTGAGGGATCTCTGTAGCATAGTGGTTGGCCCGCTCGCCTCACAGGCGAGTGGACCCGGGTTCAATTCCCAGGGCAGGGTGAAACCTTGAGTAAGTACTCTTCACGCTTCTGTTTACCTAGCAGTAAGTAGGAACTCGGTTGTTAATCAATTGGTGGATCACTTTCTGGGGATAATAATCCCTCCCACACCAAAAAAAAACGTGGTCACTCAATCCACGACGGTTTGTGGGATAATATTGCTGGACGTAATTGGCTGCTGCGTTTCGCCCACAAAATTCACAGTCAATTCACTTTACAGTATATTCAGCGAAGTGTTTTGAGACGTCTCATCGACATGATAAGGCACGATCTCAAATGCAAGAATTATTATACTGTTGTAGTAAAGAAAAGCAGGGTCAGCTAGCTCGGTCGGTGGATGTCTCACCTCTGGGTCAGAAGGTTGTTGGGTTCAAGCCCCCACAAGGGATTTTTCACTCACAGTCGAGGCTGATGCCCCAATGCAGCGCTGGAAGAGAGCAGGTTGGTGCCGTCCTTTGGATGAGAAGCTAAGCTCATTGGTCACAAGGAGGGAACTAGTACAGGAGAGGATATAGTTTGGAATGAGTTGGAACTCGTGGAGTATGGAGTTGGGGACGTCTAAGGTTATGATAATAATCCTTGCATTTGATATCGTGCCTTATCACGTCACTGAGTCATCATAAAGCGCTTCACAGAATACACTGGAAAGTGAATTGACTGCATACGTTGTGGGCGAAATGAGGCAGCCAATTGTGTACAGCAGTGACTCACAAACAGTCGTGGATTGAGTTACCAAATTATTATTTTTTCTTGGAATGAATTATTATTCCCTGGAAAGCGATCCGCCAATCGTCTAACAACGGGATTCCTACTTACTGCTATGTGGAGTCCTGTAGCTCAGTGGTTAGAGCACTCGCTTTGCAAGCGAGAGACCTGAGTTCAATTCCAGGCAGAGGGCGAAACCTTGGGCAAGTTTCCTTACTCCACACAGAGCCTAATAATAATCCCTCCAAAACAAAACAATAATAAATTGGTCATTTTCAACCCACGACTGTTTGTGGGACATTGCTGTGTGCAATTGGCTGCCGCGTTCGCCCACAAATATACAGTCAATTCACTTTACAGTGTGTTCTGTGAAGCGCTTTGGGATGTCCTCCTGACGTGAAAAGCGCTATATCAAATGCAAGGATTATTATTATTATTAAACAGAGGCATGTGGAGTAAGGAGAACTGACTAAGATTTCGCCCTGTCTGGGCATCGAACCTGGGTCCTCTCGTTGGCGAGACGAGTGCTCTAACCAATATGCTCACAGGACTCCAAAAGCATCGTGACAAATGCATGAATAAGGGTTTCAGCTGGTGGCATGAGTGTGTGGGGTGTTGTTATGGGGAGATAGGGACACAGGTGGGAGATATTTAGGACATGTCACCTTTACTGGAACTGGTGAGAGAATTCATGATTGTTAAGAACTCAAAGTAATGTCACATCCCAGGAGGAGAATTGTTACTCACACATATGATGGGCGTATCTCAAGTGAAAGACATCACAACCATGGACGTGATGGTACAGAGTCTTCTCTATCAGGTCCTGAGGCTCGTATCCAGTTAGTTCCGCCACCCTGCAGAGCAGAGTGGAGACAACAGACAATAGACAACGACGATCTGGGAACTGAACTGAGACAGAGGGAGATTCGAGGGAGGGAGTAAAGACAAAAAGTGATGGGGTGGACATTGCCACATCCCAGCAACCCTCATCAGTGTTCCTCTGGAGTTGTGACTGTCCCCCCACCTCCCTCCCTCCTTTCAGGATGGGGATCAGACTGGAGGGATGATAGTAGGACCTTGGCTAAAGCCACACTCAGTAGGGAAAGTCAACAGGGGGAGCCAGTGGAGCCTGGCAAGGACTGGGGTGATAGTTGTGCTGAGTTTGGTACGGGTGAGGATATCGGCTTGGGGGAGGTTGCAGAGGTTAGAGGCACCTTGATAAAGATCTCGGCCACTGACGCGAAAGGCGCTATATGAATGCAATTCGTTGTCATTGTTGCTGTTGCATTTATGTAGCACTCTTCGCAAGCGGTTGTGTTTCAAAAGGGTACTAATTTCTGGTCTCAGTAGACTTCCAGAGCATCCGAGTAGTGGGATGTTTGGCCTTACCTGGAGTCCAGGAATATGAGCTTGAGGTCCAGGCTGGCTCTGAACATAAACATGTTGCTGTGTAGCTTGATCTCGGTGATGGCACTGGGTGGCAGTGAGTGGCCCACAGCCACCAGCCCCACAATCTGGTAACAGCCGTCGTACAGCGTCACGTCAAAGACAAACTGGCGGATTTTCAAGTAGCCACTGCAATGAATAACCTGGCCAGGAAAAGAGGGGTCGGGGGGTTTGTGCAACCATCAACACAACAACAACAACAAATTACATTTAAAGAATCTTACAGCACAGAGGGAAGGCCATTCGGCCCATCGTGCCCTTGGACGGCTCTTTAAAGAGCAATTAGTTCTACTCCTCCGCTCTTACTGCAAATTGTTCCCTTTTAAGTACCTATCCAATTCGCTCTGGTAAATCTTCTTTTCACCCTCTCCAAGGCCGTGACATCCTTCCAAATGTCTGGTGCCCAGAATTGAACACAATATTCCAACTGAGGCCTAACCAGTGATTTGTAAAGGTTTAGCATAGCTTCCTCGCTTTTGTATTCTATTGACTATATATTATATATAAAGCGCTCCAGGACACTACCCTGAGTGAAGGGTGCTATATAAATGCAAGTTGTTGTAATATACAATTATATAGAACCTTTCATGTCGGAAGGATGTCCAAAGGCGCTGGACAGTTAAGGGTTTGTTTCTGAGATGGGGGGGTTAAAATCAAGTAGGTTGGAGGGTAGGAGGGGCGGGAATATGGCCGAAGGCACGGTCAGAGAAGAAGGTCTTGACATGGGCCTTGAAGGAGGCGGAAGGATTCGGAGATGAAGTTCCAGAGGGCGGGGGCAGAAAGGCTGAAGGCCCTTCTGCCAATGGAGTATATTTATTTTTTGAAGGGATTATCACCCTCCCTGAAAAGCAATCACTTGGGTTCATACTTGCTGCTGGGAAACAGAGTAAGAAAACTTGCCTAATGTTTCGTCCCTCGAGGCAAGCGCTCTTAACCAATACGCCACAGGACTCCACAATCAAGAGAGCTAACCAGGGCTGGACTCTGGAATCAGGCTTGTTTGGCGTTCCAGCCCTAAGTGCTATTTGGGCACCAGTATAGAGCTGGGTGGTAGAGAGAGGTATGGGGAGTCTGCAAAAGACAGCTGTAAAAATAGAGCACTTCCTTATTGAAATAAACCTTTCTTTTTGTGATTATAACCCTCAGCATAAGTTTTGTTTTCTGGTGTGACCCATGCCCTCCTCCACGTCCTTTGAAATCCTGGTTTCGTCTTTTCTTACCTTGTAACCGCCGCACGTCAAGCCCGCGTTTCGTTTGGCCAGAACGCATTTCATTCTCAGAAAGAAGGAGCGCTCAATCTCGTACTCTGCAAGGGAACAGGAGCACGATCAGTGTGTTAGTCTGCAACACACGCAGGCGTTATTATACTTTTATTGGTCAGCTGGGGGTCTGACACATGTGGAAACCCATCACCGTGCTTAAGAGTATCCAAACCAAGCTGAGAATTCCATGCATCTCTCTTACACATCGAAATCCCGGAGATAGATTGCTGGAATGGAATGCGCACTCTCACCCTGGAGCGACACATCCTGCGTATCTATTAGGCGCAGGTTTGCAAGAGCCAAGTCTTGGGAATCCCAGAGTGTGCTGTGCGTTGGGGTAACTGCTGGCGTCTAACCAGGCTAAAACCACAAAGCTTGCCCATTGAGAGCACTGTTTGGCAAGCTCTTTCGCTGCTTGTCCTGCTAGGACCATCCTGCCCGTTAGGGCTTTGCCTCACAGGGTAAATAGGAGCTGAGTGAGAGGATTCCCTGCCCCCGGTGACTGGTCTGCCCTTGCAGGTCCTGCCGATGAGCCAGGCTGACTGCACTGTCATCAGTAGTGTCCTGGAGTACTGCTGCCTGGCTCAGGAACCCAACCCTGATAATTGTATTATACAACACAGGAGTGTGAGAAGCCAGTATATCAGTGTGTTATTTTAAAGGAGTGTGTTTTTTTTTTGGTCAGCCGGGTGTCGGACACATGTGCAAACCCATCACCACGCTTAAATATTCAAGCTTATCCAAGAGTGTCCAAACCAGCCTGAGAGTTCCACATATTTAGGCCACCTGTACATGGGAATCTCTCTGTATCTGGAATCGAATACGTACTGTCTCCCTAGAAGGATTTGTCCTGCTTACCTAATTCCGGAAAGTATTAGGCGCAGGTCAGCAAGAGCCAAGACTTGGGGAGCCCAGAGTGTGTATTGGAGTAATTGCTGGAGTCTAACCAGCTAAAACTGCATAGGTTGCCATTACCACATAGCACTGTCTGGCAAGCTTTACCGCTGCTTGTCCAGCTAGGAAAAGAGGGGTCAGTGTTTTGGCCTGCAGGGTTAACAGGAGGGTTCCCTGCCTCCAGTGCCAGGTCTGCCCTTCCAAATCCTGCAGGTGAGCCAAACTGGCTGAGCTGTCATCAATAATGGAGAAGGGAGAGATAACCACAGGTGTCGAGATGTCTCAAAGCGCTTCACTGGATATACTGTAAAGTGGAGTCAATGTGCATGGCAGCCAGTTGTGCACAGCAGTGTCCCACAAACAGCCATGGAGTGAGTCACTAATTTTATTTAGGGGATTGTCAGCCAGGACACCGAGAGAGAGAGAAACTCCCTCCTCTTTTCGAATAGCACTGCGGGATCTTTAACATCCACCTGAACAGGCAGACGGAACCTTCGTTTAACATCTCATCCGAAGGACGGAGGATCCTGTGAAGCGCTTTGCTTTGAGATGACATGAAAGGCGCTGTGTAAAATGTATGGACTATTTATTTACCTGTCAATCATTCATTAAAAAGTGCAAGGACTTTTATCAGTCAGGACTTTTATCATTGTCACGCAAAGAGTCACTTCCTGACTCTTTGCGTGACAATGCCTTGCACAAATTAATAATAATAATAATAATCCTTGCATTTGATATAGCGCTTTTCACGTCGGGAGGACGTCCCAAAGCGCTTCACATAACACACTGTAAAGTGAATTGACTGTATATTTGTGGGCAACGCGGCAGCCAATTGCGCACAGCAATGTCCCACAAACAGTCGTAGATTGAAAATGACCCATTTATTATTGTTTTTTGTGTTGGAGGGATTATTATCAGGCGTGTGGAGTAAGGAAACTTGCCCAAGGTTTCGTCCTGCCTGGAATTGAACTCAGGTCTCTCGCTTGCAAAGCGAGAGTGCAAAGCGAGTGCTCTAACCACTGAGCTACAGGACTCCACGACTCCATGTCTGCAGATGACATCCCCAAGAGGGAGCATTGGTTTGCCAAGTCGCTTTACAGAATCATAGAATCTTACAACATAGAAGGAGGCCATTTGAAAGAGCCTCCAACTAGTCCCAATCCCCTGGTCTTACCTCATTGTCTTGCAGATTTTTCCTTTTTAAGTACCTATCTAGTTTCCTTTTGAAAGCTATTATCGAATCTGCTTCCACCACCCTTTCAGGCAGTGCGTTCCAGATTGTAACAACTCTCTGGGTAAAAAAAAAATTCCTCCTCATCTCCCCTCTAGTTCTTTTGCCGAGAACACACAGGAAATCCCGTGAGGCGCTTTGAGACGTTCTCCTGACCTGAAAGGTGCAGTATCAAATGCAATAATCATCATCATCAGTGATGTTACTCTAGGTGGTTCTGGCTGCAGGGTTGCATGATGATGCATTGGGTTGGCTCCAATGCAGCGCGAGATGCCAATTGCATGCTTCACGCTCCAGTGTCATCCTGTGTGCCAACCCACCAACATGAATCTAACTCCATGCGTCGTCAGAAGGTGACTTGGCGGAGTCCACTGGAGTTTATGGTTGGAGCACTCGCCTCGCAAGCGAGAGGATCCGGGTTCAATTCCCAGGCGGGGCAAAACCTTGGGCAAGTTTCCGTATTCCGCATGCCTCTGGTTACCTAGCATTAAGTAGGAACCCGATTGACGGATTGCTTTCAGGAGGTAATAATCCCTCCAAAAAATAGATCAATAAATTTGGTGACACTCAATCCACGACTGTTTGTGGAACATTGGCTGCCACATTTCACCCACAAAATATACACTTTACATTTTTTTTTACTGTATAATATATTCTGTGGTCACTGGACCTCTCCCCTCACCAATGTCTTTGAGCCACATTAATAATCCTTACCCCTTGTGTTTGATACAGCACCTTTCACTCCCTTCTCGTTTCACACAGTGCCGTGAAATTGGCATATTTGGAGGATTGTTGGCTTGGACACCGGTGGACAGAAACTCCCTTTTTACACATTGTGCCGCAGAATCTTTAACGTCCACCTGATCAGGCAAAGAATGGATCTCGGTCTAACGTCTCTCCTGAAGGACAGTGCTGACAATGGGGCACTCCCACCCTCACCAAACTTGTGCTGGAGGGTCAGGTGGAGTTAAGGGACTTGGGGAACAGCCAGCGTTGGCAAGGTGTGGCTGGCACCAGCCGAGACGTATTGAATAATGTCACACTAGGGAGTCGAGGACACAAGCCAGCAGCAGCCCCAGTGCTTTTGAACACGGAGCCAGTGGGTCAGGTTGATTCTGTCGATAATTTGTATAGTTTTTCATCACTCACCTTCCCAAAGAAAACAACGCACACCATAAAGCACGCCCTTTCTCATCAGAACGACTTGGCTGTCACGCGTTCCAACTCTACCCATGCCTGACAGGTCCTACACACACAGAGTCTCACACGCACAGATGCACACACACACTCACACGCACAGATGCACACACACACAGACACTCACACGCACAGATTCACACACACACTCACACTCACAGATGCACACACACAGACACAGACACTCACACGCACAGATGCACACACACATTCACACTCACAGATGCACACACACAGACACAGACACTCACACACACAGATGCACACACACACTCACACGTGGGTTCACATACACCCATATTCAGACAGTCACACACAGACACACACACACAGACTCTCTCTCTCACACACACATTGAGACTCACACATGGACATAGAGTCAAACACACACACACACAGTCACTCACACGCACAACAAACACAAACACACAAGCACGCACACACATAGTGTTACCAATAATAATCCACCACGGCATTTCTGGGCCCATCAGGGTGATACACCAACTATTTTCACTCAGTGAATCCTATTCAAGTTAAAGAGGCAGCGAGATCCTGTTCAAAGTGGCCTTGAGTGGCTTTAAAGCGCGCTCACGGCTTACACTGTGTCTCCAGTGCTTCAGTAACAGGTATGGACACTGCGGTGGGCAGCCCGGGTGCTGAGATGTGCAGACAATTCAGAGACCCCAGCCTGCTGGCCAACCAGATTGCCCAGGAAATTTGTACTCTAAACATCCCCCCGGACCACCGGGCGCCTGCCAGTGGTTTAAGGGTTAAATCCCGCTGACACACGAGGGAGCAAAATGAAAGAATTCGAGCGATCTTTTACATTGATCAACAACGCTCACTGCTACCCCGTCGTTTTGTGGACAGGCGCCTTGAAAGTGTCCTCTGAATCCCTGTATTATTTTGAAAACGTCAATCAGATCACCCCCTCAACCTTGTAAACTCAAAGGAATACAGACTAAGAAACCTGTCCTCCTAATGTAACCCTTTAAGCCTCGGTATCATTCTGGTGAATCTGCGCTGTACCCAGTCCAGAGCAAGTATATCTTTCCTGAGATGCGGTGCCCAAAACTGAACTTCAGGATATCAGGGGATCTTTAAAGTCTACCTGAACAGGCAGACACGAGCACGATTTAACATCTCATTGAAGGACGGCACCTCCGACCATGCAACAACCCCCAGCACTGCACTGGAGCGTCAGCTTAGACTATGTGATTCCAAGTCCCGATGTAGGGGCTTGAACCCACAACCTTCTGACTCATTGACAAGAGCGTTACCACGTAGCCAAGCTGACACACGGTATTGTATATTATGATAACATGTTATTTTATATACTATAATGTATTGTAATATATAACATATACCCAATAATTACTTATTGACATTATATTATTTTTTTTATATATGCATTATTTATGGTAAGCAAACATGCTGTGAGCTGGTCAGACATCTCTCTTTAAAACCATACTGTGTGGGTTTTTTTGTGGGCAAGAGCAAGGCAAAATAATAATAGTAATAGTCCTTGCATTTGATATAGCACGTTATCACGCTTTGAGACGTCTCAAAGTGCTTCAGAGAATATACTGTAAAGTGAAATGATTTTATATTTTGTAGGTGAAATGCCCACAGCAGTGTCCCACAGTCGTGGATTGAGTGACCAAATTATTATTTTTTTTGAAAGGATTATTTCCCCTGGAAAATGATCTGCCAATTGACTAACAACCGGGTTCCTACTTACTGCTAAGAAGCGTGTAGAGTCAGGAAACTAACCCAACATTTCGCCCTGTCCGGGAATCGAACCCTGGCCCTCGGGCTTGCGAGGCGAGCGCTCTAACCACTAAGCTACAGGACTCCGCGGCCCGGCATGTGAAGCAGACAATACCTTGCAGCAGGTGTGGATGCAGAGGCTGGTGTGCAGTGAGCACTGCAGTCATCTCATCGTGGTCAGAAGGATGGATATACTCGTAAATGCTATTCCCAGTCAACTCCACCTGTCAACAGACCACACGTCAACCACTGACAACATACTGCACATGAGAATTATCCTTATAATAATCCTTGAATTTGATACAGTGCCGTATCACCTCGCTTCACAGGATATATCATAAAGTGGATTGTGCCAAGTCTTTAGAGACATTTCTTTTGTGTGAAAGGCACTTTAAGTAAGGAACTTGTTGCGGTCCCCAAAGTCTTAGCTCTTGCCAACCTACGCCTTATACAGATGCGTGGAATTTGGTAAGCAGGGTGCATCCCTCCAAGGGAGAGAGAGTGTGCATTCGGCCGATACCATACACAGTCGCTACACTTTACAGTGCTTCCTGTGAAGCACTTTGAGGCGTCCTCCTGACATGAAAGGTACTTTAATGATGATAATGATCCTTGAATCTGATATAGCTCCTTATCACGTCGTTGAGACATCTCAAAGCGCTTCACAGGATATACCGTAAAGTGGAGTGACTGTGTATTTTGTGGAGGAAATGCTGCAGCCAGTTATGCACAGCAATGTCCCAAAAACAGTCATAGAGTGAGTGACTAATTTTATTTGTGGGATTGTTGGCCAGGACACTGGAAGAGAGGAATTCCCTTTTCTTTTCGAATAGTGGCATGGGAGCTTTCACATCCACCTGAACAGGCAAACGGGACCTCGGTTTATCATCTCATCCGAAAGATGGCACCTCTGACAAAGAAACAAACCCCAGCACTGTTTTGTAGCATCAGTTTAGACTATTCCAAGTCCCAATGTGGGATTTGAACCTATAAGCTTCTGACTCAGAGGTGAGTGTTCTGCCACTGCACCAGGCTGACCCATAAGAATGGGAAAAAGTGCTTGGGGTAATGCTCCAATTAATTTACATCCCCTTAAATTCACAGCCCGGCACATGATTGCTTTCATTCACTCAATCCACAACTGTTTGTGGGACACTGTTGTGCGTAATTGGCTGCCGCATTTCGCCCACAAAAATACAGTCAATTCATTTTACACCATATTCTGTGAAGCGCTCTGAGACGTCTAGAAGATGTGAAAAGCGCTATATCAAATGCAAGGATTATTATTATTGTTATTATATTCCTGTGAAATGTTAAAGAAAATTGATCCTTTGATAAGGACACTGGATACATTTCTGTCTGTCAGAATGCCAACTGTTTTAAAATTAACCATAGTCCTTGCAATTTTATATTGCGCCTTTCACATTCGCCCACAAAAAACACACTTTGCAGTATATACTGTGAGCGCTTTTAGATGTCCTCCCAACATGAAAGTCTCCAAACCAAATGCATGAATTATTACAATTTACTGTAAAATGGAATGAACTGTATTATGTAGGATAATGGTGTCGTCAATTTGCTCACAGCAATTTCCGAGACCAATTTAACGTCTGTGACTCTGCTAAAACCTTTACCAACTCCCCTACCTCTGCTCAGCAGGCACTAGCCTGCTCCATGTCCCCCCCCCCCCATCCCTGTCCATTCCACCGTCGTCAGTCGAGCCTTCAAGCCATTCTGCCCCCAATCTCTTGAACTTCATCCTGGCCCTCAGCCTCTCTCCCACCTCCCTTCAAGGTCCATCTCAAGACCTTTCTCTTTGACTGTGCCTTCGGCCATCCTCCCACCTCCAGCCCACATGGCCTCCACCCCTCACTGATTCTAACCTCCAGCTCGGGTGCAACCCATTCACTGTCCAGCGTCTTGTGACGTCCTCCTGATGTGAAAGCCGCTATATAAATATAATTGGTTGTTTTTGTAAACCAATGCTGGCGGTGTTTCAGACCAAGCCGCTTTCCGAAGCTTCCCAGTGGCTTCCCAATCCGGACGTGGCTATTTGAATGTTGCTCATCAGTCACCTCTCTTCCCACACAAAATGTAAGGATTATGATTAATAGCAATTACAATAAATAATCCTTGCACTTGATACAGTGCCTTATCACATCACCAAAACTTCTCAAAGCACTTCACAGTTCTTTTCATTGCATTGCATTGCATTGCTGATTTGTGTACAGCGATGTCCTACAAGCAGCCATGAAATGAATGGCCAATTTTTTTGATCTGAGGGTTTGCTGGCCAGGACAGCATGAGAGAGAAACTCCCTTCTCTTTCCAATAGGGCCGAGGGATCTTTAACATCCACCTGAACAGCAGATGGGACCTCGGTTTAACATCTCTGATAATGCAGCACTTCCCCAGCGCTGCACTGTAGTGTCAGTTTAGACTGTGTAATTCCAAGTCCTGACATAGGCGCTTCAACCCACAACCTTCTGATTCGAAGCGAGAGCACCAACTCTGGTCAGGCTATCACACTATGTTACCCTATGTGAGGGGCGAAAAAATTACAACTTGTTGCTGTTGTTTTATCTGGGATGGGGGTGAGTGGGGTGGGGAGGAGCAGTAGGGTGGGTGTTCTGGATTGATGAGACCAGATGGGCTGAAAGACCTTCTTCATCCAAACCGTCTTCTGTTTTCAGAGATCACTGCGCTGAAAAGTTGATGACAAAACATTTTCCCACACTAGGAAGGCAGAGTTTGGAGCCCAGATTTCAGCCAAGCTTGAACACCCTTCCATTGGAACACCTTGAACCTACATTTTTTTACGCACAGGAAATATCAGTAGGTGCAGATTTCTACTGATAAAATTTGGGCTTTCGGCCATTCTGCCCACGTTCTCTTCAACTCCACCCCGGACTCTCTCTGACTAGCCTCCTCCCTCTCTCATCTCGATCGAGACATCCTAGATTCAACAGAATGATACCATGGCTTAAAGGGTTAAATTATCAGGACAGGGTTTTATAAACTTAGTCTCTATTCTCTTGAGTTTAGAAGGTTGAGGGGTGATCTAATTGAGGTTTTAAAATCATAAAGGGATTCGATAAGGTAGATCTAGAGAAACTATTTCCTCTGGTGGGGGCATAGTCTTAAAAATTGAGCCAGGCCATTAAGGAATGAAATCAAAAAGCTCTTTTTCGCCCAAAGGCTAGTGGAAATCTGGAACTCTCCCCCCCAAAAGGCTGTGGAAGCTGAATCCATTCCCATTTTCAAGACTGAGGTGGAGAGATGTTTGTCAGGTCAGGGTATCAAGGGAAACGGGGCAAGAGCATGTAATTGCAGTTGAGGTACAGATCAGCTGCGATCTTATAGAATGGCAGAACAGGCTCGAAGGGCTGAATGGCCTGCTGCTGTTCCTGTGTTTCAATGAGACCCGCCTCAAGACCTTGACTGCTCGTTCGGTCATCTTTCCCCCCCCCCCCCCCCCCGCTCCCAACCTCACCCCTCCTCGACTCCCACTACCAGCTCAGGTGTCCAAGTCTGCACTGTGAATGTGCTTTGAGGCATCCTCCCGATGTGAAAGGCACTGCGTTCAATGTAAATTCATATTGTATTGTACAGTCGTGGACTGGCACCAACATTCATTTCAGTTCACAGCAAATGCTGTGAGTTAAGATTCAAAATTACCCTGAAAACAGATGGAGAGATTTCACTGAACCCTCCAGATTGATGGTGTAAAAATAAGGTTTATTGTTATTAATAATAATATTGTATATGGCATCAAATGCAAGGCAGTATTATACAATAATAATACGCCCTTGCATTTGATAAAGCACCTATCATTCCTCAAAGCACTTCACAGGAATTTACTGTAAAGTGTCATGAGTCTGTTTTGTGGTTCAACTCAGCAGCCAATTTTGCACACGGCAATATCCCACAACCAGCCGTGAAGCCAATGATCGTTTTTATCTGGGGCATTGACTGTTAGCCAGGACACCGGGAGAGAGAAACTCCCTTGCCTTTTGCAATTGTGTCTCAAGATCTTTATCGCCCGCCTGAACAGGCACAGACGAGATTTCACTTTAACATCTCAAGTGAAAAGCAGCAGCTTTGACACGGCAGCTCTATCCCAGCACTGCATTGGAGCGTCAGCCTAGACTGCGAGCTCACAAGTTCCGTTGCGGAGACTTGAACCTGTAATCTTGACTCAGAGGCAAGTGTACTACTGACTGGGCCAGACTACCAACTTAATGTTGCCCTTCACTCAATAAGTAATGGAGTGATGTTGGTGGGAGAACTCAAATAATTATTTCAATTAAAATATTAAAGTACACTTTGTATTTAAGACAACGGTCTGACACATACAGAAACCCATCACCGCTCATTAGAGTATCCAAACCAGACTGAGAGACCCACATATGTTCGCCAATTACACATGGACATTTCCCTCTAATGAAATGTGCACTCTCTCCCAGGAGGGATCCACCCTGCTTGCCTAATTCTGGAAAGTGTCTCAAAGCGCTACACAGGAATAGAGACTGGGCATTTTGTAGACAAACCTCTTAGGTCCAGATTGGTGAGAGGCAAGGTTTGGGGACTCCAGAGTAACTCATCTGCGCCTGTTCGGGCGGGCATTAAAGATCTTGCGACACAATTGCAAAAGGCAAGTTTCTCTCTCCCGGTGTCCTGGCCAACAGTCAACGCCCCAGATAAAAGCGATCATTGCATTGGGAGTAACTGTTAGGGGTCTAACCAGCTAAAACTGGCTCATTTGGCAGCAATCTCACCTCTGAGTGAGAAGCTTGAGGATTCAAGACCCGCACCGGAACTTGGAACTCGTATAATCTAAGATGTGGAGTCCTGTAGCTCAGTGGTTAGAGCACTCGCCACGCAAGCGAGAGATTTGAGTTCTGTTGCCGGCAGGGCGAAATATTAGGCAAGTTTCGTTACTGCACAAGCTTGCAAGACAAACACGAGACTCCACAAGTTTTCCGCGTAAGGGTTGGAACAAAACGACACAAACAAATCACAGAGGCTCATTACAAAGATAGAGAACTTCCTTCTCTCGCTCGCTCTCCCCCTCAAAAACACACCAGGTTCCTGTTAAAAATGGGAAAAAGTACTTAAAGGGAGAAAACGATGTGCGCTGCCTCTCTCCTGCTCAATGGGTCATGTTTTGTCCCAGTGAAGAAAGGCTGGGAAAGATCTGGGATTACATTAACATATGAAAAGCAAAAGGACCACTTTGATCCTGGATTCTCACCAGGTCAAACCCAACATTGGACGGGTCACAGTTTAGCACGTCGTGTACAAATTGCTTTCTTTACTTGATCAGCCCATCAGATTAAGACCCTATTTTGTTTTAATTTTTAAAAAAATCTATATACGTAGACGACATAAAACGAAAAGAATGGTTGGAAAAAAAAACGCGCTGAAAAACACCGCCAGGTCAAAAAACAAATGTTAAAATATAATTTGGTCGCTCAATCCACGACTATTTCCAGGACACCGCTGTGCACAATTGACTACCGTGTTTCGCCCACACAATATACAGTCAATCCATTTTACAGTATATTTTGTGAAGCGCTTTGAGACGTCTCAACAATGTGGTAAGGGGCTATAACAAATGCAAGAATTATTATTATGATTATTAGTTCATTATTACATTGTAAAAATACTTTTGGATTTTAAGGCATTGACCCCCTCTACACACACACACACACACTTACAAAGCACTATTTTAAGAATATAATAATAATAATCCATACACTTCATATAGTGCCTTTCATCCTTTCACGTTGGGAAGCGATTCATAGGATGTATTGTAAAGTGTAGCGCCCTTTTGTCGGTGAATACGGCAGCCGACACGCACAGCAGTGTTCCACAAACAGCCACGGAATGAGTGATCAATTTATCTGGGGGATTGTTGGCCAGGATACCAGGAGAGAGAAACTCCCTTCTCTTTTCCAATAGCACCATGGGATCTTTAACGTCCATCTGAACAGGAGCCTCAGTTTAACAGCAACAGAGATTAATGGAGAGGGAAAGGGTAAACAAGCACATCTGGTAAAAAGATTGAAGTTAAAGGGTGTATGGAGTCTGGCCTCAATTAGTCCGAGAGAGATTATTTATTTATTTTGGTCAGCCGGGTGTCTGACACGTGCAGAAACTCATCAACGTGCTTAAGAGTCTCCAAACTAAACTGAGAATTCTATGTATTGTGCCTACACATGGAAATCCCAGTTAATTTGCACACAGCAAAGTCTCACAAACAGCCATAATAATAATAATAATCCTTGCATTTAATATAGTGCCTTATCACGTCGTTGAGATGTCTCAAAGCGCTTCACAGGATATATAGTCAAGTGGATTGACTGTATATTTTGTGGGCGAAACTTGGCAGCTAAACGTGGCAGCGATCCGCAAATCGACTAACAACCGGGTTCCTACTTACTGCTAGGTATACAGAAGCGTGTGGAGTAAGGAAACTTGCCTAAGGTTTTGCCCTGCCTGGGAATCAAACCCAGGTCCTCTCCCTTGCGAGGTGATTGCTCAGACCTGCAAACCTCCGACTCAGAGACGAGAATGCAACATGGATACCCGCATGCATTTCAGTACACCATCAAAAATTGAACAGTGATTCCCAGCTCTAACCCCTGCCACCATTTTGGAATGAATAAAACTGTAGCACATTCATAATCCAAATTCCTTTACAGACTTGGCTTGTAATTTTTTTAAATGAACGGATTTCACTCCTGGACAGTAATTCAATGTATTTCAGAAATCATATTTTAAAAGACTTGGTGAGTATTTTCTCAGTGAGTGCATGTATGATGCTTCACAGGATTTACTGTAAAGTGCGTGATATCAATGACAAGCTATGCAGTTACCCTCAACGCACACTCTGGGATTCCCAAGCTTTGGCTCTTGCCAACCTGCACCTAATACTTTCCGGAATTAGGTAAGCAGGAGGCGTCCCTCCAGGGAGAGAGAGTGCGCATTCCATTCCAACAATTTATCCCCAGAATTTCCACGTGTAGGTGGGATGCGTGGAATTCTCAGTTTGTTTTGGATATTCTCAAGCACGGTGATGGGTTTCCGCACGTGTCAGACACCCGGCGGACCAAAAAAGCAAAGTGCTTCAAGGATTTACTGTAACTTGTAGTGACTGTGTGGGCAAACACGGCAGCCAATTTGCACACAGGAAAGTCCCACAAACAGTAAAGGTGCAGATGAGACCTCAGTTTCACATCTCATAGGAACAGGAGTAGGCCATTCAGTTTGTTCTGCCATTCTATTAGACCATGGCTGATCTGTACCTCAACTCCAATTACCCACTTTGCCCCATATCCCTTGATACCCTGATCTAACAAACATCTGTCCACCTCAGTCTTGTAAATTTGAATGGATCCAACATCCACAGCCTTTTGGGGGAGAGTTCCAGATTTTCACTAGCCTTTTTTATGAAAAAGTACCTCTTGATTTCACTCCTAAATGGCCTGGCTCCAATTTTAAGATGATGCCCCATTTGTTCTGGATTCCCCCACCAGAGGAAATAAGTTTCTCTGTATCTACCCTATTGAATCCCTTTATGATTTTAATCACTTCAATCAGATCAACCCTCAGCCTTCTATACTCATCCAAAAGACAATACAGCACCTCCCCCGTGACACTGAAAAGCCCTGACCCTTGAAGGTGGGCGTAGGAGGGTGTAAACTGACTCAGAGACGAGAGTGCGAGCGTACGGTTTCCTTACCTGGGACAGGCCCAAATGGACCGAGGCAGTCTCTGAAATGTACATGATTTTCCCATCAGAGGCGATTACAAAGACAAAGCCATCCAGAGTCTGGGGAGATACAGAGCCAAGAGTAAAGCAATCGTCAGTCTTAGTAATAGTAATAATCATTATCACGTCTTCAATATGTCGCAATCCGATTCTTAGAATACACTGTAAAATGAATTACAGTGGTATATTTTTGGGGCGAAACGCCGCAGCCAATTGCGCACAGCAGTGTCCCACAGTCGTGGATTGTGTGACCAAATTATTAGCATTTTTTTTCAAGGGATTATTACCCCCGGAGAAGCAAGCTGCCTATCGACTGACAACTGGGTTCCTACTTACTGCTAGGTAAGCAGAGGCGTGTGGAGTAAGCAAAGTTGCTTAATGTTTCGCCCCGCCCAGGAATCGAACCCGGGTCTCTCAGTTGCGAGGCGAGCGCTCTCACCATTACATTATGGGACTCCTCAGTCTTAACAGCAACAACAACAACAATAATAATAACAGTCAGTTGTGGGCGAGGGTGAGGAGTTCACGTTACCCTTTATTATTATTGCTAGAGAAAATCGTGAAATATATTGATCTACAAATTGAATGTGACGTATGCGGCAATGTAAAACAAACATAGTCCCTATAGTCATCGGTGTATAACTGGGAATGTTAATAAGACTATTCAGAAATGGTTGACAAACTAACTGGTGAAGAAAATATCAACCTCCTGCGAAAAGTAGCTATTTTAGGAAGCTCCAACATACTAAGAAAAGTAAAAATCGATTCATGTGTAACGTGGCAGTGTTGTTGGTCTGGCTGACCATCACTGAAAACCATTTAGAAATTACGTCTACAGAGTGATTTAAACTCTAATACTATTAATAACATTCATAATAATAATAAAAGGTTATGTGCACCCCATTACCCATGGCCCCTTTTTAATGTGATAGGAGTTGGAGCTGACCAGGGTGCTGGTAGCAATTTTACTCTAATAATCAGTGTGTTTGATGTAGCTCCATATCATGTTGAACCATCTCAAAGCCCTTCGCGAGAGCTTTTGTATAGAGCGCAGCGACTGCTTGGGTCTGGTGGGCGAACATGGAAGCCAATTTGTGCACAGCTACATCCCACAAACAGCCATGGCTAATTTTATTTGACCAGGAGAGAGAAACTGTCTTCTCTTTTTGAATAGTGCCATGGGATCTTTAATGCCCACCTTAATATCCGTATGGACAGCACCTCCGACAAAGCTGTGCAACCCACACCCCACCTGCACCCCAGAACCCGAATGCTGCATTAAAGTACCAGCCTGGACTGCATGAGTTCAAATTTACCTGAAGCAAGTGTGATCCCAGTTCTCTGGCCATATTGTCCAAAGGGCTGATACGACTCGACTGTCCCCAGGCATCTCCCAGACCTGAAAGAGAAACAACATATGGAGTCCCGTAGGATAGTGGTTAGAGCGCTTGCCTAGCAAATGAGAGGACCCTGGGTTCATTTCCCGGGCAGGGAGAAACCTCAGACATATTCTTTACTCCACATGCCTCTGTTTATCTAGCAGTAAATAAGGAACCTGGTTGTTAGACAATTGGTGGATCACTTTCCAACTGGTAATAATCCCTTAAAAATAATAATAGTTTGGTCACTCAATCCATTACTGTTTGTGGGACACCGCTGTACGCAATTGGCTGCCGAGTTTTCACCCGCAAGTCAATTCGCTTTACAATATATTCCGTGAAGCTCTTTGAGATGTTTCAGCAACGGGATCAGGTGCTATATCAAATGCAAGGATTATTATTATTAAATAAGTGCTTCTTTCCAACGCTGGTAAAACACGAGACTGTGTGTTATCGGAGAAGCAGCTCAGTCAGGCTCCACGATCATAAACACAGTAGGGAAAGGCAAACCAACTCTTTCTCCTCCGCTCACCAAACCAAAAAATGCACTGAATTTGACCTTGTGTTTGGGAACAGAAACAGGATTGCTGTTACGGATCTTTACAAAGACTACAAAGAGCAACAACAGTTTTCATTTAGATAGTGAGGCGGCATCTTTAGAGTGGTCTTATGGAGGGGAGGGAGGAGGTGACCATAAGCACAGCTGAAGAGGAAGGTCTTCAGCCGTGATCTGGAAGAGGTGAAGATGGGGGCAAGGTGGAGGGAGTTCCAAAGCTTTGGGGCTTAGTGGCTGAAAGTATGGCCACCGATATACAGTGCGGAAATGGATCACTTGGCCCAACTAGTCTGTGCCGGTGTTTATACTCCACACGAATCTCCATTCATTCCTTACTTCCTCCCACACGCTTCTATTCCTCTCTCCCCTCATGTGAAGGTCTAACTTCTTCTTGAATGCATCTACAATATCTGATTCAACCACTGCCTCAGGCATCGAGTTCCACAATCTCACTACCCTCTGTATGAAGCAGTTCCTCCTAAATTCTCTCTTTGATCTCCCTGGTCACTATCTTATACTTGTGACCCCTGGTTAAGGACTCCAGAACCAGTGGAAACAGACGATTTATGTTAACCTTATCGAAAACCTTTAAAATTTTCAACACCACGATTAGGTTGCCCTCCACCCTTAAACGTTTCTTCTCTAGGCTGTTGGCCTGTGGTGTGATGGAAGCAGAAAGTGTTGATTCATTCAAATGCAAATCAGTGAGATTTCTTTCAGAAAATAATACTTGGGGATAGAGGTTCTGGGTAATTAGAGACACAACAAACAGTAAGTGTAGTATGGCTGGGAAGAACCAAGCAACTTTGGATCTAAGGTTCTCAAGCTTTCCACTCTGTTGTAGATTAATCAATACAGAATTAATTGCTATCAACAACTCCATTATTGTAGTATTATTCTATTCGTCAAAGATGGACAGAATGTCTAGCGCCTTGGGACGTCTTCCTGATTGGAGGGGTTCATAAAAGAAGTGTCAGGAGACGAAGGAGTGAAGCTGGAAGCAACAACACTTTCAAGGACCTTGGAAAGGAAAGGGAGGTTGGAGATGGGGCGGTAGTTGGTGAGTAGGGATAGGTCCAGGGAAGTTTTTTTTTAGGAAGGTGAAGGTGATTTTTATCATCTAGCAATTCCTATGTTCCTGTGTATATTACAATAACTCTGATTTGGTGAAAACACCAATACTGAAGTTACATTCACACACTGTAAAGTGGATTGACTGTGTATTTTGTGTTTCACCCACAAAATACACAGTCACTCCACAATACAGCATATCCTGTGTGTGTTGAGACATCCCATTGACACGATAAGGCACTATATCAAATGGAAGGAACATTATTATTATTACAAACCAGTTCTCAGGCAACACAATGGCAGAATCGATCTAGATCAATGGTGGCCAAACTTTGGCCCGTGGGCCAGAAGTGGCCCTCGGGATCATCAAAAAACTACCCCCCCCCAACATTCACACAAGTCCAGATACTGATCCTGAACCTGTGTTCGATCAGTAATGTGTTTATTCTTCAACAAAAATTGTTTTTGAATATTTCTTCATATATCAAAAAATATTCCATCAAGAAAATTGATTTTGCTGACCGACCATAAAGATTAGCTATCGCTGATCTAGATTATGAACAATAATAATTCTTGCATTCAATACAGTGCCTTTCACGTTGAGAGGACGTCCCAAAGTGCTTCACAGGTTTTACTGTAAATTGCAGTATGTGGACCTATAGGTGAACTGCAGCCAATTTCAGCACAGCAACATCCCACAAATAGCCATGAGGTGAGCAACCAGTTTCATTGAGGGAGTTGTTGACCAGGACACCAGGAGAGAGAAACTCCCTTCTCTTTTTGAGTCGTGCTGCAGGATCTTTTTATTGTCCCCTGAACTGGCACAGACGGGACCTCGGTTTAACGGAACATCTAAGAAATGGCACCTCCGACAACTCAGCCTTCCCTCAGCAGTCAATTGTAGTGTCAGCCTGGACTGGGAGCTCAAGATCCTGATGTGGTCTTGAACCCACAACCTTCTGACTCAGAGGCGAGAGCCTTACCGACTAAGCCAGCACAGCATACGGAGCAAGACCTTAGGCAAGTTTCTTTACTCGGCACGCCTCTGTTTACCGAGCAGTAAGTAGGAACCCAGTCAATCGATTGGCAGTTCACTTTCCAGGAGTAATAAACCCTTCAATAAAATATAATAATAATAATAATTTGGTCACTCAATCCATGACTGTTTGTGGGACGCTGCTGTGCGCAATTGGCTGCTGCGTTTCGCCCACAAAGTATACAGTCAATTCACTTTACAGTATATTCTGCGAAGAACTTTGAGACGTCTCAACAACATGATAAGGCGTTATATCAAATGCAAGGATTATTATTATTATCATTATTATTATTATAATTGGAGCGTCAGCCTAGACTGGGAACTCCATGTCCCTGACCTCTGATTCAGAGGCGAGAGCGCTACCAACTAAGCCAGCATGACACACACATGAACAGCCTCTCTGACATGTTACCAAATAATCTGCATGGGTTTGAGAAGAATGGAGAATGTTCCGCTGTCAACAGGAATGAAACATTATCTCCCTCTCTGACGCCCCCCCCTCCTCCCAGCAAAGCCTCGGCCCTGGCTGAGCTGTGAGCCACACAGGCTGCTGCCAAGCTTTCACATTCCTCATTCGCAAAATCGAGCCCTCTGTGAACTCCCAGGGTTGAAGCAGGTGACACTTTGCTAATTCCACAGCTTGAAATTCATCACACAACTTTGTGGCTCGGAAAGACTTGGGAAGCCCACTACAGAATTACAGCAGCACAGCTTACTTGCAATGTTAATAATAATAATAATATAATCCTTGCATTTGATATCATGCCTTATCACGTCACCGAGACATCTCAAAGCACTTCACAAGATATACTGTAGAGTGGAGTGACTGTGTATTTTGTAGGTGAAATGCGGCAGCCAATTGCGCACAGAGGTGTCTCATAGCCGTGGATTGAGTAACCAAATTATTATTTTTCTGGAGTGATTATTACCCCGGAAAGTGATCCAGCAATGGACTAACATTCAGGTTCCTAGTTACTGCTCGGTAAACAGAGGCGTGTGTGAGAATAACTCAACTTCCCTAAGTTTTTGCTCCACCCAGGAATTGAACCCGGGTCCTCTCGCTTGCGAGGCGAGCGTGCTAACCACTGCGCTACAGGACTTCACATTCCTGCTTCACTAACTGTGCCTTAAAAGTGCGCAGATTGGTTTTGAATCCGGCTGTTATTAACACACCGCAGGCTTTCGACAAACGTCAGATCAAAAGAGCCTCGACTTTTCCTCTGAACATTTTCATTTTTGGTCGAAAATTCGAAGTAAATCTGAAGCAAAAATCGTTCGATCGCAGATCAGGCTCATCAATTTAATTCAAAAAACCTTAAACAATGCTTTCCCCACCCGTCGTGAGATCCTGGAAACATGTCATTGGAAAGAGTTTTTACTCAATGATTTATACAGTCACCGAGACATAGTCAGCTATTAATCAACAACAACAAGATTCCATTTATAAAGCGCCTTTCACGTCAGGAGGACGTCCCAAGGCGCTGCACAGTTGGGTCATGACCCGAGCAGGGGGGAAATGGTCAGGGTGAGGGGAGGGAAGGGAGGGAGCGAGGAGGGGGGAAATGGTCAGGGTGAGGGGAGGGAAGGGAGGGAGCGAGGAGCGGGGAAATGGTCAGGGTGAGGGGAGGAAGGGAGGGAGCGAGGAGGGGGAAGAGAGTCGAGAGGGGAGCTGAAGGCACGGTCAAAGAGAAAGGTTTTGAGACCGGCCTTGAAGGAGGAAAGGGAGGAAGCGGCGAAGGCACTGGGGGATGGAGTTCCAGAGCCTGGGGGCTGAGAGGCTGAAGGTCCGACCACCGATGGTAGGGCAGTTGGTGCGGGGGACGTGGAGCAGACCGGAGCCAGAGGAACGGAGGGTACGGGCAGGTAGGTAGGGGGATAGTAGGTCAGAGAGGTAGGAGGGAGCGAGGCCGTGAATGGCCTTGTAGGTGAGGATGAGGATCTTGAAATCAATCCTCTGGGGGATGGGGAGCCAGTGGAGGCGAGCGAGGGTGGGAGTGATGTGGTCCCGAAGCCTGGTGCGGGACAGTACATGAGCTGCAGAGTTCTGAATGACTCGCCACATTACAGTAAGCAGGTGTGGAGTAGTGTGGTGGTCACTGTGCATTGAGATAGCAATGGCAATCCACATAGTTAATTTTCTTCCCGAACAGTGATCTGATGTATGTTTTCTTTTGTGAAGCATTTTGAGACGCCTTCCTGACTTGAAAGGCGCTGCATCAAATGTAAGGTTTATTATGGTACGAGGAGTATTAGTGTGTTGATTATTACCACGTCAGGATTAATACACAAGAACGTAAGAATTGCTAGACAAAAGAAGACCAAAGTTCATCTAGTTCACCTTCCACCACCCTGGCAGT